CGTCTCCCAGCTGGTCCCGGTGCGGCCCATGAACTGGTGCGTCCGCGGGTTCCACACGAACTCCTTCCACTCCTCAACCACCTGCCCGCAGCTCTTCTTCTCTTTCTGGATGACCATCTTGGCGGCGGGGGACGAGTACCGCGCGGGGCGGGGGGCTACGGAGAAGCTGGGGTGCGGTGCGCTGTAGCCCCCCTCCCACGTACCGGAATGCTCCGGGAGCAGAGGCAGCCGGAGCGAGGGAGACCCCCTTCAGCTATGCAGCTGCTGCGAATTCCGGGGTGCACGGCCACGCGCTGCGGGTTGCTGGCAACGCGGCGTGGGATGCACAGATCCTAGGCCCCCCCAACTGCGATAAAAAAGGGGGGGTTGTCAGAGCAGGGGAGGATAAAAAGGGGAAGGGGTACGAGTGCCGCTTCACCCCACCTCCTAGAAGCAAAAGGAAAAGGGATGCAAAAATAGACGGCAGCCAAACCGGAGCGAAACGCAGTACAAATCGGGGTGCAAAGAAGCAGAGAGAGAAGTGGGGGAGGGGGCCGCCCCGAAATCCGAGATTCAAAGAGCCTGTGGCGCGGGTTTGGGTGACCACCGGGAGATTCTTCCGCCAAGCAGAGACCGCCGCGCCAGCGGGGCTCCGCCGCCGGGTGGGGTGCAGACGCGCAGTTGGGGGTCAGCCCGGGAGAGGAGACCCCGGCCCCTGGCTCCGCTCCTCAGCAGTGCGAGCCGGCGGGCGCCGAGCGCAGTCTTTATAGTCAGCAGCTTTGGGGCTGCCCGCCCCTTCCCTCCCCCAGAAACCCCGCCTCCTCGCCGCTGGCCCGGGCACCTCATGCATATGCAAACATGGAGATGTCGGGCCCGCCCCCTGCAGACTCTTCAGGGCCAGGAGGTCTCTCGCTTACAGCCACCCCAGGTACTGGACTGGGTCCGAGTGGGTAGGAGGGTAGAGGCCATGTCTGGGCAGGATACGGAGAGAGAACCCCGGAGAGACACAGAGGCTGGGAGGGAAGCAAACACATGCTGAGATGGGGGACCCAGGCAGGGAGTTAAAAAGAGACCAAGACCCAGGAGATACAAAGGGCAGAATGTGGAAGGACTAGAGAAGGAGCCAGAAACCAAGAAAAGGAGATAAAGGAGACCAGTCAGGTGCTAGACCAGCAGGATGGGAGCTGGAACGGGGCACATGGAGATGGAGAGGCCACCACGGGGGGAAATTCCTCAGTGGGAGCTGCTACCAGGTGTGTGTCCCGCCCCCCAATGCCTCCTTTTCCAGTCCCACAGCCCCTCCTCCCACCACCTGTTTATCCCCAAGTCTCCGGGCTTCCGGGGCTCCCCCCACCCCTGTTAGTGAATCCCTCGCACACCACATCCCAGCCCCCGGCATTGCCCCGAGAACCCAGCCCTGGAGCCAGGTCTGCTGGTCCGCTTAGGTGTTCTGCCTCCTCCCACCCTCATGTCTTTTTTTTTTTTTTAATTGTTTAAAGTATTACATATGTCTCCTTTTTGTGTAAGGACACACTTACCTTGTCCTCACTCCGAGTCTCCCTGAACTCCCATGCATGGTGGCTACCATCGACCCCCATGACCCCCATGTCTTAACTCCCCTCATCATTTGCCCACTTGAGTCAACAAACATTTACTGAGCACCTATTCGAGACCTTGTGCAATGTAGCCCTGGAGAGGTAAGGTTGAAGTTCTCTCCCTCTCCCTTCCTCTCTGAAATCAATAAAAATATATTGATTTTTATTAAAAAGAATAATTGTCTTTTTATCTCTCTTTGAATCTTGTCAGTTTTCTTTGGAGAGGTTTTGCTCTCAACTCTCATCCTAAATCCTTGGCTCTAGTCCTCAACAGGTCTCGTCATTCCCTCACACTCTGTCCCTCCAGTCTAGGCGTCAGCTTCACGGACTTGGGATCTGCTCAAACAAAGCCCGTGCTCAGAGTGGCTTTGTGCTTAGTTTAGGCTCTGCTCTCACCATCTTTAAATTCTTCATAATTTTTTTTTATTTTAAAATATATTTTATTGATTTTTTACAGAGAGGAAGGGAGAGAGAT